TCAAACATATATTTTATTCAAAAATAAAAACATCATCGCTTTCTCAAAATCACATAAAGYCATATTATAACATCGACTGAGATAAAGAATAAAATGAAATATTAAAAACATGATGTATCTCGCTGCATTGCGCGAGTACTCTTCTAGTAGATTATAAAGCATTTAAAAAAAAACTCTTAAAAACCATTTTTTATGCATGAAGTTCTGTTTATTGATGCATATTACTTAAAATTCAGAATTACAAGTAAATAATGCATAAGTACAACTTATTAAAGCGTCATGTTTGAATTAATGTAACTAACTGCAGATAAACATAGTCAAATACAAGATAAACATTTCATTCTAAATATAAAAAATCTAAAAAATAATTAGAATAATCATTAAGTTCTGACCGAATACTTAATTATTATCCTTAAAAATTATATTATTAAATTAAAAATAATAAAAAATTAAATTGAATAAATTACACAAAAAACAAGAACTTTTAAATATTTATGTTGATACTAATATTGTTATATTTATTTTCGAAATTTTAATTATATCTTTAAATTTAAATTTTATTCAAAAATAAAAACATTATCTCTTTTTCAAAACCACATAAAAATTGTATTATAACCTCTACAGAGATGGAATAAAAAGAAATAAAATCGAGATATATCTCGTTGCATTGCGCGAGTATCCTTCTATTATAATACAATATAAAGTATAATATAATAATAGAAAGATACCCGCACAATGGAACGAGATACATTTCGATTTTAATATTTTGTTTTATTCTTTGTCTCTGTCGATATAAAGCGGTTTTACATGATTTTGAAAAAACAATGTTTTTATTTTTGAATAAAATATAAATTTAAAGATATCATAAAACTTTGGAAAAAAAATATCGATATTAGTATCAAACTAACTATTTAAAAATTCTCTTTTTTTGTATAATTTTTTTAATTCAATTTTTTATTATAATTTTATTTATTTATTCTATATTATAAAATTTTAACAAAAACTCTTAAAAACAATTTTTTATGCATGAAGTACTGTTTATTGATACATATTACTTAAAATTCAATATTATAAGTAAATTGTGCGTAAATACAACTTGTTAAAGCTTTATTTTTGAGTTCGTGTAACTAACTGCGAATAAAGATAATCAAATACAGGATAAACATCTCATGTTAAATATAAAAAATTAAAATATAATTAAGATAATTATTGAGTTTTAAGAGAGTCTTTAGTTATCATTCTTATAAAATTACTAGAAGCGTACTCGCACAATGCAGCGAGATACATCATGATTTTAATATTTCATTTTATTTCTTATCTCAGTCGATGTTATAATATGACTTTATGTGATTTTGAGAAAGCGATGATGTTTTTATTTTTGAATAAAATATCTGTTTAAAGATATCATAAAAATTTGACAAAAATATATCGATATTAGT